ATCCTGCCCAGAAAAGTCATTAACACTTTAGAGAAAAAGATAGCAACTTTCTTTTGGGGTTCTTCTAATGGTAAAATTAAATAGCACTGGCTTAAGTGGTCTGATTTATGCTTTCCCACCGAAGAAGGGGGTTTGGGTCTCAGATCTTTATATGATCTTGAAAGGGCTTTCTCTATCAAACTCTGGTGGAAGTGGAGGTCTGGAAATACTTTTTGGGTTCATTTTTTGAAAGCTAGGTACCCTAAACGACTTTGCATGACTCCTAAGGTCAGTGATTTGCCTATATGGAGGAGGATCTGTGCTATTAATGATTGTGCTAACAGTCAATGTCAAATCAATTGTGATAATAGTATGAAATGGTTACCTGAGGCTGATGGATGCTTCACCTTCAAGTCTGCTTATGACTTGGTAAGAAATGAACTGGCCTCCACTTTCTCCTTCAAACATTCTTGGCATCCTAGACAGTCTCTGCAAATTAAAATATTTCAGTGGAAGATCCTGAGAGGTATACTTCCTACTACTGATAACCTGAAAAGATTCCAAATGGTGCTAAATCCCTCAATTTGTCCCCTTTGTAAAAGTAGTGAAGATTATCTTGACCACCTATTCTTCCAATGTAAAATTGCTCAACCAATTTGGTACTACTTCATGAACGTCCTGGGTATTCCTCTTCCTAGACCTAACAGCTCCATCAGGGAGGTTTTCATGTCATGGTGGATTAGGGCGGGCAGTATTAAATTAACAGATATCTTCAAACACAACTTACCTGGTATAATATGTTGGCACTTGTGGAAAATTTATACAGCTATCGTTTGGGGCTCAGATTGCAGTAAGATTTCTTCTGAACAAATAATTCTACAGATTAAAGTTTACACTCAGGCTTGGGTCACTAGTTTTCCTGCCTTGAAGCTGCGTTCTGTTGGTGATATTCTTTATGAAGAAAATTTGATTCCGAGTAACTTCAAAACAAAAGGTGGTCATTACAAAGCAGTGAAATGGAAACGGCCCACTGGAACTTTAAAGCTGAATAGCGATGCTAAGTTCTTACCTGGAGATGTATCGGGAGGGGCAATCACGAGGAATGAATATGGGACTTTGGTGTTTGCGTTAGCCTTCCCGATTGCTACGTCTTCTCCTTTGGAAGCTGAAATAGCTGCTGCGCTATATGCTACGAAATGGGCCATCTCAACAGGCTTCTCTAGTTTCATGGTGGAAATGGATGCTGCGGTGGCGGTGCAATACATTGAAGATTGAGGAGCGGGTAGATGGAAGGTTGAATTTCAAGGAACTGTACTGGATGCTCGCAGGAAGGGGATCCGTTTTTCCCATGTAGTTAGGGAGTGCAATTGGGTAGCCCACTATCTTGCTAACCAAACTTCGGCCCAACTTTATTCTTTTAAGCATATCTCTGATCTGCCAAGACTAGCCCAACAGGCTTATTATGCTGGTTTATTTGGTTTTCCTTCTTTCAGATATACTTATTGAGTTATTCATGTAATCCATTGAGTCATGTATAGTCCCCTCAATGGATCTATTTATTTTTATTGTTGAGTTATTTTTATGATTATTATCTGTTTTTGAAGAGGAATGCCTCTTCTGGAGAGGTTTTGGTTTGGTCCCCCTCTCTTCTTGTACCTGTTTTTTACTTTAATAAAACTCGAAAAATGTTCCCCGACATTTGCCCCACTGATTTTGGTGGTTTGCCTACCGGGTTAAAAAAAATGGTACTCCCTCCGTTCCTAAATAAACTTCCAACTTTCCTTTTTCGTCCGTTCCAATTAAAACTTCCACTTTCCCTTTTTAGTAAAGAATTTGTGGTTCACAACATTTCTTACACATTTCTCTCTCCTCTGCACAACTCTCCACCACTCAATACCCACTATCTTAAACTCTGTGCCAAACCTATTTGGAAGTTTTAATAGGAACGGAGGTAGTATGAAACAATAATAGAAGGATATTTAAAAATGAAAAAATGAGACAATTCAATTATAGAAGGACGGAGGGATTACCTCCTAATATAATTCTAATATAATTCGGTAACTCCAAATACTTGAGTAGTTGAGTGCCAAACAAACCCGTTCTCTAATTGCGAGTGAGGAGGGGAGGGAAATGTGCATGTAGGAAATCAAAGCTTGAGTTATTAGGCCACGATTATTTAAATTTGGACCAATGACTAATTGACTAATTGTGTGGGCAAGATTCTTAATTAAATGAGGCACAAGTTCATGAATTTAATTTAAGATACTTTTGACAATGTACATTATATATACCTACACCAGCACGTAAGCTAGTGATTTAAGGGGGTGTTTACTTTAAATGTAATGAGTTAACAAGTGAAGAGATAATTGTCAAAATAGGATTAAAAGTCGGTTTTTCGCACAAATAGGACCAAAAAGTAAAGTATGTTTTGATAGGACTAATTATGTGTGTGTTGGACAAATATACTCTTGTTGCTATTAAAATATTTTAATTTTCATAATAAAATTGATGGAGTATATTCCTGTATACCCCAGGGGTATCATAATCGCCGGTATAAAGCACCACGGACCCATTCCGGAGTGCACGAAAAGACTAAGTCCGCAGCTATACCGACCCCGACCCCGACCAGCCACGGTCGGAAACAAGCGCCAGTCAACAGAACAAGCTAAGGACCGAGAAGTTGTCCGACCCCGAGGCCGGGAAAATACCAAGCTCAGGAATCGATCAGACTCGACCCGTTATGAGCCCGACCTCGAGACGCCCGAGCTCGGCACCAAGTCTGATCCCGGGAGTCAAATGCATGGTTAGCATGCACGAGGCAGACGACTACCTCAAAGGCAGGAACAAAGGACAAAGGGGCGAGTCCTCTCATCACGAGCCCGAGCTCCCAGATATCGACCTCAGTAATCCCCAAGGTCTGAATGAGGCATCATGGACTTAGACGAAATCCGCAAGGTTTTATCCCACGAGGAGATGTCACCACGTCATCATCAACGCCAGAGAATATTCTCGGTTACCCACGCATGGCCACACGGGATTTCTGGCAGCAATTCTGTTAGGAGCTAACTCCAATCAGCCAGTTATCAAATACTCTCTCTCCAATCAGCTTTACACGTGGCTGCTTTCCATCGAATTAGGCTGTTAGTTTGTTAGAGTAGCTTTACACGTGTCCCTCTCCTATTAGACTAGCATCTTTTTTTTTGGGCATCAAGTGTTACATTTTATCTCTCAATATAAATATCACCTTCCAACTTGTGGACAGTAATGCTTCCTCGAGGCTTGATGCTTAATCTATTGCACTTTTAATACTCATACACGGTTATTCTGCCGGATCAAGTACTTCCATTTTCCGACCAGTTCACTCTCCCCTTTTTCTCTCATTTGAGTTGGATTCTGGCCACCCCTGGTCAGATAATCCATCAAAAATAATAAAATATAATAAAATTCGTAAAAAAATACTAAAAAATTAACAAAAATATTTTAGTAATAATTTAATTTAATTTTAATTTTTTAAAAATTTAAAAAACTTTTTAGAAAAAACAAAAATCTCAAACAAAAAAAATCACCGCCGCCTCTACTGCCCTAGCACCACCACCTCCTGTCATCAGAGGTAAAAAATGTCACATCCATTACGAATGCCATATTTATGGCAGATTCAATGAAAATTTTGGCATTCTCAAAGAGTAATATGCCATTTTTTTGACATTTTCGGAAAGAAATGACAATTTTTAGAAAGAATGACATTTTTTACGCTGGTCGGTGGTGGTGGTGCAGGGAGGCAGTACAAGCGGTGGGAAAGGCATCTAATTTAAAAAAATTAAAAAATTAAAAAATATTAATTTGTATATTTCTAAAAACAAATATTCCTTACATATTTACAAAATGATCCACCTTTATTTTACGATGAAATTGAAAATAAAAATCCTTACTTTTTTTTATTTTGTTTTTACTCCAGGGGCATCTAGGGGAGGGGGCCCGGGGTCTGGAGTAATCAGGACTGAAACTCAACTCATTGAGTTTCAAACCCTTATGTGTCTAGCGGGTTACGAACTCGAGACCTCTCACTAGACACGGTAACCTTACAACCAGCTGAGTTGGAATGCTTGGTTTTGTATATTTCTAAAAACAATTCTTAATGTAAAAATGTTCACAACAATAATTACAACTAATACTTCTTCTGTTCCTTTTTAATTGCAACAGTCAACTTTTTATGCTTGCAACCGCACAAGTTTGACCATTATTATCATTCATTCCTTATTAGTAAAAATTAAAAAAATGGGATTTTAAAATTTTAAAATGAGAATTTAAAAATATTTTTTAAAAATTTAATTTATAATACATTAATAAATCAAATATAGTCAAAGTAGAACATGCGAATAGAGCAAAAAGTCTAATGTTGCAACTAAAAGAAAACGAACCTACTATTATATGGATGTTTTTATTTGGACTGTAATTTGCTGGTCTGATCTGGTCTGATTTCTTTGTATTTTTATAACTATGCAAGTCTGGTCTGAATTGGTATGATATGATCTGGTCTGGTATGGGAGGAATTACAGTCCAAGTAAAAAGATCCTAAGAGTATATTCTTAATGAGTTTTTTCTTCTTTTAGTCCTCCGACTATTATGTCATCGACACTTTTGGTACTCGACTTTGATTTTTTCCATTTTTAGTCCTTTACTATTGCGCTAGAGACACTTTTGGTACTCGTCTTTGAAAATTTCCATAGTTAGTCCTTCAACTTTCACAAAAGTGACACTTTTGATCCTTCAACTATTATAATAGTGACATTTTTAGTCCTCCACTTATTGTGTCAAAATCGTAATGGGAAGACTAAAAGTGTTAATTTGACAATATTCAGGGACTAACTGTGGGAAACCTTGATGTTGGGGATTAAAAGTGTATCTGACACAATAGTCGATGACTAAAAATGAAAAAATTAGAAGTCAAGTATCAAAAGTGTCATTGACATAATAGTCGGGGACCAAAAATGTCAAAAATCTATTCTTAATACTCCGTAGTATTTTATTTAGAGTAGTTTATGATGTTGTTATGTTATGCTCAATACTAATCAGTAGAATGTTTCTATAAATAATGGTAAGAATATTACTCGTAGAACAGTTTACACGTTCACATAACTGTATACTGCGTATGTTTTTACTGCTTCCAGCTTGCAGCCAGCTGCTACTAGCTAGAACGCTCATCTAACCATGGCAGTAAAAAAACCTTTGAAGCTTCGAATATCCAGCCTCATCACTTACCTCCGATCATGCAATTCCAAACCCACCACCATCTCCGCCGTTAATTTCCCCGTCAGTAAAGCTCTTTCTAATTCAAACACCCACCACTCTTCCTCCGCCTTCAAACGCCACCTTCCCTCGTCCGCCGGCTGCCGTCCAACGCCCCGCACCGGCGACTACCCCCCTGCATCACGGAAGCCGCAAGAGTTCATCTGGACGAAAGAAGAGAAATGGCACGTGGTGTTTCCTCCGCCGTCAACGACGGGGAAAAAGAAACGCCGACCAAGAAAAAAGAAATCAACCGCCGCCGCGATAATGTTCCGACCCAGCACGTCGTCCTCGGAAGAGGAGAGAGAAACTATGTTCTCGTCTTCCAGAACATTCTCGACGGATTCTTCCGGAAGGTCTAAAACGCGGCGCTCCACCTCAAGAAGGAGATCGTCGGCGTCATCTCCGGAGAGCGAGCTGCCGGCGGCGAGGCTATCAGCGTTCAAGAAGCTGATTCCGTGCACCGTGGACGGGAAAGTGAAGGAGAGCTTCGCCGTACTCAAGAAATCGCGGGACCCACAGGGAGATTTCAAGAGATCGATGATGGAGATGATCGTGGAGAAGGAATTGTTCGAGAAGAAGGAACTGGAACAGCTTTTGGAGTGTTTGCTGTCGTTGAACGGGAGGCAGTATCATGGGTTTATTGTCGGAGCTTTCTCGGAGATTTGGGAAGATCTGTTTTGCTGATTATTCCGGTCCTCGAACGGTCGTCTGTTTGGTCAGATTAGTGTTCCTAGCTATGGAGGATTAGATAGCTGTGCCTGTGTAAAGATCGATCTACGTTCATGGCCATCATTTCTACTGCACCTATATGTTCTATATATTTGACTTTTTTAATGATCATAGGATTTCGTGATAAAAAAAACTAATCATAGGATTTTCCAAAAAAAAAAGAAAACTAATCATAGGATTAAAATTTAAAATTTGGATTTAGTTACAAAATTATCCGAGCTTAACTAATATCCTATCCTTTCTTCATCAACTAATTCAAATAAAAAAATTGTTTAAAAACTCACATGTGCTGCATAATTTCCTCAAAACTAAAAAAGAGTAAAGAAAAAGGTGTTTTATTTAAAGAAATTTATTACTTCCTCAATCCAAGTGTGCCATACTTACTCCCGCTCTAAAAATTTTGTTAAGTTTGATTAGTACGAAAAATAATCAAGTAAAAACTATTACTCCCTCCGTCTCATATTTATCTTCGTAGTTTGGAAGATAAAGAGCCCGTTTGGTGACCCCTTTATTCGGCTTATCGGATTTATCAGCCAGCTTTTTCAACAAACACGTAACTTTTGATTTCGCGCGCTGAATCTTGTAATAAGCCGAAAAAGTAAGATTGTAGTTACTTTTCTGGCTGTATCGGCTGAAGTTACTGTAGAGGATCATTTTAGCTATTTTTACATGTAACTTTTTCTTTATTTTATTAATAAAATATATTTTGAATTTAATTTTTTCATTAATCAGCAAAATCAGCCGATACAGCCACTTCAGCCAGAACTTCATAAATTTCAGCAGAATCAGCCGATTCAACCGATTTCAGTGTTACCAAACGGGCTCAAAGTAACTTGATCCCTGTTCACACTCAAATTGTTTTTAGTAAATTAAATTTACATATTCAGAAACTACATTAAATCTGCTACAAAGTCTGATCAAGAAAATTTAAGTTTGATAAAAAAATGATATATAAAGTAAAAGATTAAGAGTAATTTGAGTTGACCGTACGTGTGAATAGTAACTATGAAGATAATTTTGGAAATTGATAAACTTGGGTTGATTAATGAGAAATTTACCTAAATAGGACTAAAACTTATGAAAAAATTCACCGTAGGACTATCACTTTTCTGTTTAACACCATAGGACTAAAATATAGATGGAATACCAAAACTACCCTGCAAAGCCACCTTTCTTCCGTTCGCGACTTATGAAGGTTGCGCTGAAGGATGTCTCTGCATCATCTCTGCACCTTCCCTAGATAAGCTTCTTCTTCTTCTTTAATGCTTCTATATTTTCTTTCTTCCACTTTTACTCTTTTCTTCTCTTTTGAATATTCATTTTTTTTATAAATTCCATCTAATTCACTTTAAATCGTTCATACTATTTTTCTCACCAATTGGACCTGAAAATGGCATAATTGCTATGTATTTCAACACTGATTTGGAAAAAATGTCACTTTCTTGACATTACATTTACCAGGATTACAGTTTTTATTTGACATTTCTAAAGAGTAAAAATGACACCAACTTGACATTCTCCACGACCGTGATGTTTTTATATATGGAAATGTCATCTCCATGACATTTTGAGAACAAAGATGACATTTTTTACAAAACAGAGTAAGAAGAAGAAGAAATCAGATGAGGAAGAGGAATCTGGAAGATAATGTTCGAATGTGAAGAGGATGAGAGAAAAGGAAAGAGAGGCAGAGAACATAATTAAGGGGAGTAGCAGAACAACCTGGAGTTCTGGACTGGACGTCGTAGAGAAGGATCAATTGTTGAGGTGCAGGGAATTGCAGGGGAGAGGATTGATTTTAGGTTGCAGGATAAGAGGATTGATGTTGGAGTTGCAGGAGAAGAGCATGGCGCAGAAGAAGGAGATCGTCGCTGGAGGCGGAGAAAAGGATACACACAGGGACATTTTAGACTTTGCGGAAAACGTAAAAACTGATAATAGGAGCGGATGACTCCTATATGGAGGATAAAACATATTAAGTCCTAATTTGAGTTTTTATCTATGTTTTAGTCTTATTTAGGACAATTACTTTTCATTAATGGCATTAAAGTCATTGACCAGTTCAATTCCAATCCTTCCTAAAAACTCCGTAGCTGGTGTGCATCCGGCTAGATGGAGTAAAAAATATACTTTCCTCGAACTTTAGTAATTGTAACATTACTATTAATATATATATATACTCAAATTATTATGTATAAAGCATTATTAAATTTCTATTAATGTGAATTTAAAATGTTAACTTTTTATAATGTTTACTAATGAGTAATTAAATATAACATAGTTAAAGTTGCGCGTTGATAAACGTAAAAATTAAACGGTTTCAATATTAAAACAACATATATAGTACGTAGTATAATGTAATTGACCTACATAGGAGTAAAACATACTCCATAACACTTTTCCCTAAATAAGAGTTCATCCCTAATCTTCATTAATATAATTAATTGTCCTCTAATTATCTTCCATAACTGCGAATTAACATATTTGTGATTTAATCTATTTTTACTGTTACTCTGTCATTTTTAGCAAATTATTATAGTCCGATATGTGTGATGAGGTGATCTACAAAAGCACGCAAGGTGATGTGATATGATGGAGATGAGAACCCTACCACTGATCCATATATTCTGCATGCATGGAACTAGATAAGGCGTGCTGCTGTTCATCACTCGTGCTCACATTATATTACTCCACATTTATCTATACTCGTAGCACTTCCTCGTTCCGAAATAATCGTCCTGTTTTGATCTTTACACAGATTAAGAAAACAAAACTGACTTCATACTGTATGACACTGCAGCGAAACTGTTTGGCACTGTTTTGCACTGTTTGACACTGTTTTGTATAGATTTGTTTATCAAATAACGAAATGAGACAATTATTTCGAGACACATCGAAAAGAAAAGTAGGACAATTATTTCAAGGCGGAGGGGGTATTATTTATTCTTTACTACATATATAATAGAATATTAATTAGGCAGATTTGTTTCCTTGTATGTTTAGATATCAGTAACCTTTCCCATTATTTCACATGGTATAATGGAGTAACCTTTCCCATTATTTCACATGGTATCAGTAGCCCAAAGAAAACCCTAATTTTCTTTTCGATCTAAGTCGCCGCCATGACCTCCGAATTCTCCACCACGGCGCCGCCGACTTCTCCAAATACATCGCCGCCACCGCCGTTCTCCACAGCGGACATCGGCACCTCGGCATCGGACTTCTCCTCCCCCGCTCACCATGCCGTCTCCCAGCCGCAACCCCACGCGGCGATCTCACGTCCGGTTGGCAGCTTCACCATGCCACCGCCGACGACCGAATATATGGCCGCATATCCGTTCCCACCGTATACTGCGCCACTGCCATACTCCCTCTTCAACCCCTTGCCGCCGCAATTCCCATGGCAGCCGAGTCGCCCTCTTCTGCCACCGGCCAGCCCACGTCCCACGCCGCCACCAGCTTCTCCCTATTTTGGCCCTTCGTTCGCTGGTTTTCCAGGAGTTGTCCGACCCCAGAATGACAACCCTCTCTTCGGCACTCCAATGGCAGCCTTGGTGCAGGCTGTTTCTCATGGAATTGCAAACGTCGGCCAGATTGTTACCATCAAACTCAAAGCAGTTGAAGATTATCTTACATGGCGCACTCAATTCGAATCATTCTTGGTGTCACAGGGTCTTTTTGGTATGTTAGATGGCTCTATTCCGGTACCTCCCTTATACACTCTGGATTTTAATAATCATCAAATCGTTAATACTGACTATTATCATTGGCTTCGAGTAGATCAAACAATTCGTTCCTGGTTGTTTGCTACTTTATCTCGTGAAGTATTAACTGATGTTCATGATATTAAACATTCAATGGGTATATGGGAGCGTTTACAGTCACGTTTTATGTCTGCCAGTTTACCTAGAGCTATGGAGCTTAAACGCTTATTATCTAACATCAAAAAGAAATCTAATCAATCCATGGACCACTACTTACGTGATATTAAAAGTCCGGTTGATGCTTTAGCAGCAATTAATTCCCCTGTGACTGAGAAAGAATTATTACAAAGCACACTACAGGGACTTGGCCCTGAATATCAGTTTGTTACGGGCACTATCTCACTGTTTCCTGATAGCTTTCCACCCGACATCCTTCACCCGCGCCTCATGGAGACTGAGCAGACTGTTTTGCATCAACAACAAGACTATTCTTCCCCTCACCAAGCGTTTGCTGCTTCATTGGGCACTGGGCAGTCGGGTCCCTCAGCGCCACGCGGCCGCGGCAGTCGCGGCAGAGGTGGCAGAGGGCGTGGAGGTCGCGGCAGAGGCGGAAGACACAGGCCACAGCAGTACTACGCACCACCAGCTTCTACGGTGCATTCCAGCCAGTCCGAGCCGAGACCTGCAGAGGGTTCTCCTGTTCCAAGACCTCCTAATGATGCATCTGGTAAATCTGTTGTGTCCACTTTAAATATTAATGCTAATTATGCTTTTGGTACTCATGGTTCTTCTGCAGGTTTCCCATCTTCGGAGGGTATTCTCGGGTTTGTTCCATCCCCAGTTGTGTGTCAAATTTGTTTTTCTGCAGGTCACTCTGCGATGCATTGTCCGTCTCGTTTTTCACAAACTTCTGCACCTGCGTTGATTACTCCAAGTGGCGAATCCAATGATGTTTTGTGGTATCCGGACTCCGGTGCCTCTGCTCACATGACCTCTTCTGAAGGTATTCTGTCAAATAAATTCTCTTACTCAGGCTCCATGACTGTTAGTGTGGCCAATTGCACTAATTTACCTATTGCTAATATTGGAAATATTACTTTAAATACTTTCAGTCGCCCCTTGTCATTGAAAAATGTTTTTCATGTGCCTCAAACAGTGTCGAAATAGTGTATAAACAGTAAAATTTACCCCCTGATAAGTTTATTTCCTTAATATGTGTGTAGGTCAAATTGAGAAGTTCTTTGTGGGACGGAGAGAGTATATAACTTCATTTTTAAGTCACGAGGTGAATTTGAGATTTCAAAGAATGGAGGATATTACGTACTACGTATATGATTTGTTTCGGAATTGAAACATGAAGGTGTATCGATGACAAATAATCATCGGCTGAATTGGCTGATTTTGTTGAAATTTGTAAAGTTGTGCC